TAAAACTTTCACACCTTCTTTCTCTTCAAATGTACTGGCCTGCCAAGCACATTCCCACCATACAGGGCCTTTTGATTTACTTTTCCTCCTGTACCTGGAGCACCCTATATCTGTTTGCTCCCTTACTTCCTTCAAGACCCTACTAGAACGTTATTATCAGTTAAGTCCACAGGCCATCCTGTGTAAAGTAGCAAGCCCATTGCCATCACCACCAGCACATTCCCCATTTTTTTAGCGGTTACCAATCCTCATATTCTGTGTATTTTATGTGTGTATTTTTTCATCTCCTTGCTATGATGAAAGTTTTATAAGAGCCTGGATTTTGTGTTTCTTTTCATTCTTCCATGCCTAGAGCTTGCTACACTGCTTTCCAGTATTCTACACATATTTGTTTAATGAATGGATGGATAGATAGATGAATGCCTGCTGACTTTTGAAAATGCCAGTGAGCTTTGGAGAGTTTTCCTTTCCCATTTACCAAGCCCAGTATATTCACCTACCCATTCTTCCCTATCGTTTGTATGTGACTGTACTTTCCAAGCTCAGATTTAATACACACGAGCTAATTGTTGGGGAAAATCATTAATTTGGACTATATTGGAAAATCCAATATGCTTATTAATTATATTGGACTTAAACTCATAGTCTCTTAAAATGGAGTCCTCAAAAACAGCTTTTGGGTTTTTGTTGGTACTGGGGTTTTGAACTCAGGGTCTGTGCTTGCTGAACAAGCACTCTGCCACTTGAGCCACGCTAACTATCAGTCCCTTTGCTGTAGTTTATTTTTCAAATAAGGTCTCTTGCTTTTGTCTCAGTCTGTCTGGGACTGTGATCCTCCTATTTATGCCTCCTGCATAGCTGTAATTATATGCTTATAATACTATGCCAGGCTTGTTCTTTGAGATAGGGTCTCACTAATATTTTTACCGAGGCTGGCCTCGAACTATGACCCTCCTATCTCTGATTCCCAACTAGCTGGGATTAAAGGCATGAGCCACCATATCTGGCCCTCAAAGACACCTTTGATGACCATTTTTCAGTGCATTTAATGGGATCCACTAGTGCAATGGGATCTGCTAGTGTAATTGGCCTGTCCATTGTCCACTAAGATATTTGTAGTGGACATATATATAAACGTAAACCAGATGCTGGTAGCTTGCACCTGTAATCCTAGCTACTTGGAAGGCAGAGCTCAGGAGGATCACAGTTTGAGGCCAGCCTGAGGAAATAGTTCACAAAACCCTACCTTGAAAATACCCAACACAAAAAAGGACCAGCAGAGTGACTCAAGTGGTAGAGTACCTGCTTAGCAAGCATGAAGCCATGAGTTCTGCAAAATAAAATAAAAGTGAATTAAAGCTTTTTCAAAGTTCTAGCTTGGGATTATAGGAGATAATGAGAAATTATTTATAAAGCCTTGTGCGAATTTTCTGGCCTGTCTTTTCAAGTCCCTGCATACAGGAGCTAGCACACAACCTTGTGGATCCTTCACCATTTCTATCTGGTTAGCTGAATAACTAAGCAGGGTTTCTTACTGTCTACTTGTTAGGTCTTTGTTCTCTTACTTCTCCTGTTTTCAAGAAGTTGTGGAATAAGACAGTGATTAAAACTCACCACTTTCTATCCAGTGACCGCCAACTAAATGAGTTAAACACATACTTGGTTTTATGTAGTTGATCACAGTTGTGTTCCTATGTCAGTGAAGGAGAATTAACATAAAAATGTTACTTTCTCATAGTCACTGAGCCTAAAGGATCTTCTAGAGTTTATCCATCTGCTCTAGACTGCAGCTTTCTCTAAACTTATCAAAACAAATGGTTGTCTTCTTTGAGCCTCACCCATTTAAGCAAAAACACTTGAAAGAAAATTATTTCCTCTAGTTTTCTTCTTATTACCCTTTTGTAATGAATTCCTTTGGGACTGAGAAATGCATATTCAAATTTTGAGAAATGTATCATCATTTGTTTTCAAGTTTTCTTGCTCTTGAAATAATGAAAACATGAATACTGGGAGATATACATGCAGTATAGAGAGGTAAATATTCCAAAAGTTGCACAAGTCCTTGTTAAATTTTCTTAATTTGGAATAATAACCAGGTTTTTAGGTTCTTGGTCTGGTAGCCATTCTCTCCGAGGGTAGATTTCTCACTTGCTGTGCAAAGCATGAGGTTAAACCAAGCACAATTGGATGTTGAGGCACGGCCTGAGAAACCTTATCCCAGAAGATTCTCTCACTCTCTCTCTCTCTCTCTCACTCTCTCTCTCTCTCTCAAAACTCCCACCCTGGGAATATGTGTCAAGCCCCAGAAAATGGCATTGAAAGGATATTTTCCTAGCTCTTTTGTCCCCACAGGAAGGTAAAGTCCTCTTTAGTTGTGAGGCTTTGAAATTTATATTAGGCTGTATTGAATAGTCACATAGTGGCTCTTCAGTAGAGTCTTGAAGGACCTGTGCATTGTAGTTGAAAGTCTTCTGAAGCTGACCAAAGGCTGTTGAAACTTCCTTTGATTGATCACCTTTAGAAGACTTCAAAATGTATTGGTTCTCCAATAGTGGTAAGATGAATCAAGAAGGAGATTTAAGCTTGCAGTGTGCTGGAGAATTATGCTGTGGTTATTAAGCTCACCAAAGATTGTTTTTGTTTGGTGATAGTGGGGTTTTAAACCCAGGGCCTTGCACTACCAGCCCTTTTTGATTTAGTTATTTTTCAGATAGGGTCTCACACTTTTTGCCTGGGGCCAACTTTGGGCCATAATCATCCTACCTAAGTCTTCTGAGTAGCTAGGATTATAGGTGTGCACCACCATGCCCTCCAACAAAGATGGTTCTTACCCTTAACTTTCTGTGCTTAGTGGGCTCAAAGAAGTCTCTTTTATTCTAGAATGAAATGTGAGGAAGGAATGACAAATGCAGACATCATTTTGTAAACACATTTTTAACCATTTTTGATGACTGAGAGAAGAAATGACAAGAGGATCTTAGATTATTTTTAGCTATCATTAGATAGGAAGACAAGTTTTTTGAGATAGTGTCTTACCACATAGTCCAGACTGGCCTCAAACTTGCAATCCTTATACCTCAGTCTCCTAAATACAGGGATTATAGGCATGTGCCCCTACACCTGGTAAGACAGCTTCTTTTGATAAATACACATGAACCGGATTACAAAATTTCTGAAGGCAGACTGGAAGTGGTTCTTGGGCTGCAGGTTCTCTCAAATGGTTAAAAAAAAATAGGAAGCAAGCCATATGCGGTAGTTCAAGTCTAAACTTAGCTACTCAGGAAGCAGACATTGGCCTGGGCAAAAAGTTAGTAATATCCCATTTCAAAACAGTGGCTAGATGTGGTGGCATGCGCCTGTCATCCCAGCGATTCAGGAAACCACAAATAGGAGGATCGAAGTTCACAACACCGGGACACAAAGTGAGACCCTATCCTCAAAATAACCAATGCAAAAAGAGGGGGCTGGGTGTGTCTCAAGTGATAGAGTGCCTGCCTAGCAAACATGGGGCCCTGAGTTCTATCCCCAGTACCACCAAATAAAAAAACCGGAAGTGATAAGACTTTGTGTTTTTGTGGAGAAGAAATAGTTTAAATCTTTACTTAGCATCTACTGTAGGACAGTAAACTATAAAAAATGCAAATAAGTGCCGCTGTGCCTAAATGTTTCTATGGCCCCATTTCCACCATGATAAATATAAGCATTCTCTCACTTGGATGCATATGTACTTTTGTGTATGGGTAGCTAGTCACTACTCCACTGAACGTAGGTTGATAGATGAAATATTTTATAAAACAAAAATTGTGTTAATTTATGTTCCACCAAGTTTAAGATTTTGACCATTTGAACAGGGATCAAGCAGAAGCTTCCTTTAGTATTATTCATAAACACAGTGTTTGTTGAGCAAGTTATAGCATAGACAAGACTGGGAAGAATATTTAATGATTTGGGAGAAAATACAACTTCCAATCAATTCTTGGATGTATACTTTCTGATATAAACATTTGTAGTGCTAACTGCTTTCATTAATTTAGATTGGCCTTAGAATTATCCATGAATTTTTAATTTTCAGTGATGAAGTACATCTGATCCTTCCTATCGTTGGTTGTTGTTGGTGGTGGAGTGTGTGTGTGTGTGCGTGTGCGTGCTCATGCTCACATGCACAGTAGGGATTGACCCCAGGGTCTCTCTTATGCCAAGCACACATTCTAACACTAAGCTACACCTCCAGTTTTCCCACTGGTTTTGAGTAAAGAGAGATAGCTCAATTTAAGAGGTCTCTGTGGCCAGAGTTGGCTGCAGAAACCTCTTTAGTCTGTATCTGATGGGCAAGAAGTTGTTATTCTTGAGCTTTTGTCAGTGAGGAGTAAAATGCAGGCTGGCCTTGAACTGCTATCCTCTTATCTTTGCCTTCCAAATAGCTAACAATACAGGTGTGATCCACCGTGCTAGGCAATGCTTCTACTTTCTTGTTTACTTACTGTGGTTGCCCTGTAAGGTCATTCTGTGACAGGAAGATCAGTACATTATGTGCTTTACACTTGACACATTATTCAGTATGCTTTGCAGCTGTGTATTGAAAGTCTTCTAAGTGTATCATGATTGTAATTGAAGTAGGAAAATTAATCAGAATGGAATCCATGCTGTGGTAGAAAGGAGATTTACAGTATAGTAGAGTTTGAGCTTTAGCCTATCATTTTTGATAGTTGAAATTACTTCTTGATTTTTTACAGTGCTGTTGCCTTGGTAATCCAGATTTCTTCCCTCATGCAACTGGGAATGGCTCTCAGAAGGCCCTAGTTTGATGACTAAAGAACTAGATACCTAGAACCTGAAGTGATTTTACTATTAAAAAAAACACACTAGCGATATGAATATTCTGAATAGAGATCTAATGAACATTTTTTTGGTGTTGTTTCCTTAGGTAACCTTGGAGAACAAATTGAAACGTCAAGATTGTTAATAATCCAGGATACGTGTACTTTATTTGTGAAGAGAGTATGGCTGCCATACTGGTACATGGTTATGTCCAACTGTGGAATAGGAAGAAAGGGATGTCTAAGTCAAAGGAAGCATTCATTGAAACAGTGGTAGGAAAGGACAAAGTTAAACTTCTGCTGTATTTCAACACTGGAAGTGTTAAAACTTTGCTACTCAGTGATATTAAAAATGTGATTCTTAGATCCTATGGAGAAAACAGAAATGACCTGTATTTAACTTTGCAAAATAATGACTTTTTGTTTATTGAAAGATTAGCCTTCACAGATGCCCAGCAATTGAAGGCATTCCTAGATAGTGTCTGTGAAACTAATCTTCAACCACCCATGAGATCTGATAAGGGAGAGGGTATCTTTACCAGCACAACCACACAGAAGGAGATCAATAAAACTTCACTGAACAAAGATTGTAAGAAAACAAGTAGTGGATGCTTTGAGACAGCAGAAGAAACTAAAACGTCCTACCTTCAGAAGATGCCTTTGTTTATAGCAAAATCACCAACACCTATTAGTAAAAAGTTGTTAGAAAAGCAACAGGAAAAGAGGAAAAGAATCCTATTCTCTAGTTCAGACAGAAATGAAAATAAGACCCTCCTGATAGAAGATAACTCCATAAGAAACAAGAAATCTAAGGCAGATTCCTTGGAGTGTATCAGTCATAATTGGGAGAAACAGTTGAAGTTTAGAGAGTCAGAAGAGAATGAGAAGTCAGCTTTTGAATTTTCATTCATGGCCGACTTTACTGGAAACTCTTCCCGAGATGATACGCATCCCCAAACTTTTGCTGAGAAAATATTCTTTCCATTTCTGGTGGATCCCAACTCTATTGAGTGTGGCCTAGACTGGGAAAATCTCGAGATGTTCCTTGCATTTTGTCCAGAGAAAGTATGTCATGGTCTTCCCAATTTGGGAAACACCTGTTATATGAATGCAGTTTTACAGTCGTTATGTTCAATTCCATCATTTATTAATGATATACTCAGTCAGAGTTTCCAATGGTCTAGAGTTCCCCGTGATGCTTTTAGCATGTGCTTAGCACAGCTGCTTGTTTTGAAAGATGTGTATGACATAACAATGAAGGGGAAGGTACTTAGGAATATTAAAAGAGCCATTTCAGAAATTGCAGAAATATTCTCTGGTGACATACAGAATGATGCTCATGAGTTTTTAAGTTTCTGTTTAAATCATATGAAGGAGACCATACAAAAATTAAGTGTAACTCAGGAAGATGATTCTGGGAAAGAAACTTCACCTCACCCAAGTTTTGTTGATAATGCTGCCACCAAAAGTCTGTTGTGTCCTGTCATCACTAATTTTGAGCTTGAGTTGCTGGGCTCTATTTTTTGTAAAGGCTGTGGTAGAGCTGTTCTTAAGACAGAACCCAGTAATTATCTCTCCATCAACCTTCCCCAAGGAAGGAAAGTAAGTCCTTTGTCTATTCAATCGTCTATTGATCTTTTCTTCAGAGCAGAAGAGATTGAATATAAATGTGAGAGGTGCAAGCACAGGCAGTCTGTTACAATGTATAAATTCAGTAGGCTACCTAGGATCCTGATTGTTCATCTGAAACGCTATAGCTTTAATGAGATGTGGTCATTAAGGAAGGATGAGCAGAAAGTCATTGTTTCTAAATATGTAAAGTTGTCTTCCCATTGCAATGGGAACACAAAACTACCTCTTCCCCTTAGTAAGAATGCTCATATTAGGGATCTTGAGTTACTGAAAATTTTTCAAAAGATGACGTTTGAAATGATTAACTCACCAACCCCTTCAGCAGAGTTGATCTCAAAATCCAAGGAGTCCCTGTCTCTACACTTTGAATCAGACAAGGAATTGGAACCACAAAAGTCCCAGAGATTCTTTAAAAAGGCAAGCAGAGAACAGCAAAAAGACCTGGAGAAAGATTCTAAACTGAATATAATGGAATCAGGAGATGAGATGCTTTTTGAAGAAGAGCTATTCACTGACTCGATGTATCTGGAAGACGACTTTATTTCTCTGATCCACAAAGATGGAGGCAAACCTGCTAGCAGCCCAGACATATGTATCGAAGATAATTGTCTTCAAGAAATACCTGAAAATTCCAAGCTAGATAAATATGAGAATACAAATGTATTTATAGATTTTGATAGTGTCAGTGAGCCTTTTGAAGATTTTGATGAAGATCCACACCCGACATTTCCAGAAAGTTTCCCCAGAGTGGATCAACAGATCCAGAGGTATGATGGGGGTAGAATCCATAAAGAAGCTCCTCCCCATCAGGCACTTCCTCAAAGCCTTCCAGAGCTAAATGCCCAGGGGCACACACAGAACTTCAGAAGCCCTACAAAATTAAATCTCCAGAAGGCTAACCTGAATTCTGATAAGAACCCTGGAAATCATAAGACAGAATCAAAAGCCAAGGAACCAAAAGGAAATGCTGATAAGGGAGATCCTCATACCTATCGGCTCATTGGTGTTATTAGCCATCTTGGGAATACCCCCCATTCAGGCCACTATATCAGTGATGCCTACGACTTTAAGACGCAGCAATGGTTCACATACAATGATGTACAGGTATCAAGTATCCCAGAGTTCGAGGTGCAGGAGTCTAGGATTTCCACTGGGTATATCTTCTTTTACATGTATAATGAGGCCTTTGAACAACTGTTGGCAAGGGGACAAAACTCCAGGTCTTGTAGTACCAAGGCAAAGAAGACCTCTTGAATGAGAGAAACAGGCTCCTTGTTGCACAGAGCTCCTCAATTGCATCACTCACTACCATTTCCTCCCTGAGAAGAGAGCTCTAAACTATCCAGGTGAATCTCCTTTCTAACACTGACATACCTCAATCCCCCACCTTTGGCTGATCAGCAGTCTGTTCTATAAGGCGGGAACTGGGCTTTATATATGCTAACGCAGTTGTTTAAAAATGTGCTCTTCAAGCAGCAACATCAGGAGCATTAGGGGAAGCCCTTAGAAAGCCAGTATTGTGGGATCCACTGCAGATTTATCCAGAAATTCAGGGTGAAGGGCAGCAATCTGATGGAAATTCTGATGCTTAATAAAGCTTAAGAACCACCAGTGTAGTATAGAGTATCTTGGTGTGTTTTGTTGTTATACATTGGAATTACTTGCTTTATAAAGATTTCAATTACATTTTTGTGTTTGTTATTTTATATGTGCTTTTCCTTTGTGAACTAATTAAGATAAAAACTAGGCTGAGAGGGCTGGCAGAGTGATTGAATTGGTAAGAGTACCTGCCTTGCAAGCGTGAAGCCCTGAGCTCAAACCTTGGTGCTGCCCAAAAAAGAAATGGCAACAGAAAAACCTGGCTGGAGATATATAGATGACACTAACCGCCAAGTTAAGTCTGCAGGTCATCTGCTAAAAGCCTTCTTTTCCTCAATGCCACACTCAAACTTTGATCTAGAAGATGGAGAAGTTCATTTGCCCACAAGGAATTGGCCAATGTTTCCTATTTGTCTGCTAGCAAGCTGTTGAGCCTTGGTGATCTGAGTCCACTTTGCCATTTTTGTTTTCTCAGAGAGGCACTTGCATTGCCTAAAAGGAACTGTACCAGGACTTCATCTGCAAAAAAATTGAAAAGTTTTCTGCATTCAACATTAGAAGACTAATTCCAGATTTAGTGTTTTAAAGTGGACTTGTAGAATTTGTCTTACTTGAGTAACAAGATTTGATACAGCATCAAAAAACCTGCATAAAGACAGGCAAGGTGGTATAAGCCAGCTATTTGGGAGGGACAGGTGGGAAGATTGCCTTCCAAGGCTAGCCCTGGGCAAAATGTATGAGACCCTATCAAATAAATAAATCCAAAAAGGCAGTAGGAGTGGCTCAAATAGTAAAGCACTTGCTAGGAAGCACAAGACCCAGAGTTGAAACCCCAGCACTTCCAAAAAAAGAAAGAAAAAGAACAAAACCAAATCTTACACGAAGATCAACTTATTTGGGGAAAGCCACGTGGATCCTGGGGGTGGTCATACTCTGTAAGCACTTTGTGTAATCCAGAGATTTAATGATTCTCCTGATACCAAGCATATACCATCTCTGTAATGCCTTTTCTTGCCTTTGAAGGCAGCAAATCTGTAGTGCCTTATATGTTTGTTAGGAACAAATGATTTGTGCTAAGAGGCTTTCTCACATCACATAGAAGAATTGGTTTTCAATCCTATGTTTACTAACACGAATTTCCCTTTTTTAATATAAGTTATGGTTTTGAACAAAGTTATTAATCTAAGAATTTGTTGTGTTCTTAATCCTAGTGGCCTTTAAAGAGGTGACTTACAATTTAATGGTGTGGGGATGTTAGATAATGCTCTCCAAGGGGAAAGTCAGATGCCAAAGCTTGGGGATTCTATTGTTCAGAATATAGTGTATCTATGAGGAGGTGTGAATGGGACCTGGAGATTGCTGAGGTATAGGTGGGAGTCTCCTAGATTGAATTACTTGAATGGGAAAAGGTGTTATAGATAGAACTAGAGAGTGATCAACTTCTGTAATACTTCAGCAGCTGAGGATAAGGCTGGAGTTGAATGTAGAGAAGGGGAATGACAGTTTGGTTTCTAAACTCTTTTAAGCTTTTGACCTATTTAGAATAGTTAATTCTGAGCTTCATTACATAGACTTCAGAATAGGAGTTTGGGTAAGAGTGAAGGAATTGTTTTGAAAGGAGTATAGAAATGTCAATAATTTGCAAGTTACTGTTTAAAATAAAGTTTACATCCTGGACATGCTCTTCAGCATATAGCACTTCAAAGTGCAAGGAAGATTGAGAAGTGAAGATAGTAGGGGGATCTATCACAGGGAAGATCCCAAGTGGAATCCACCATTGCCATGTGAAGGGAAATTCTGAGTGCACAATAAGTGTTTGAATGCTGTCTACATGTTACATTGTTATTTCAAATAAAAGATTAACAATTCTTCAGTGACTCAATGGCATTATTTATGATGAATGTAAGTTGGTCCTCTAGTTTATGGATCGTTTCCAGGTAACCCTGCAGATTAAGAAAATGTGATGCTCAGTGTTTTTGTCTCCTATTGCTTTTGTAACAAAGTACCACAAATGTAATAGCTTCCAACGACACAATTTTTAATTACCTTACTGTTTTAGAGACCAGGAGTCTAAATTGCATACTACCAGGCCAAAATCCTATTCTGAGGCCAAAATGTGTGTCTATCTCCTAGAAGCTGCCCATTCCTTGGCTCTTGGCCTCACTCTTTCATCTTCAGAATCAGCAATGATTGGCTGAGTCCTTAACAATGCAGAGTCTGGTTCTCCCTTTTCTGCCTTCCTCTTCTTCCACTTTTAAGAACCATTGTGATTAAACTGGGCCCATACTGATAACCCAAGATATCACTGTGTTTTAAGGTCAGCAACCTTAATTCTCATCTGCTCTATAACATAAATCCAAGGATTAGGATGTGGACATTTATGTAATACTCAGCCTATCATAAATGCCTGATAGAAGTTAATAGAAAACTACCACCAGCACCACAACAAAAGCATAGGAGTTTAGTACTCTCCCCATAAAGAATGAATGTTTGGGTCCTTCATCAGTGTAAGAACTCAAAATTTCTGAGATTTTTATCTGAGGGTGAGGGAAAATTTTAGCCTTTATGCCAGTTAGAGAAATAGGGACTATAGTTGCTTTGCCCATTATTCTGCTTATTACATGGTTGCATTTACTTTCCTCCTTTTTACTCTCCTGGTTCCTGTTTTTAATTTTATATAAAGTTTATTGGAGGTTTACTTTACTTTTCTGTTACTTGAGTAACAGAATATTCAATGGCAGTCTGACTGAATTTGAGGACTACTTAGGGCCCGTAATGATGCAGTGCCTTGAAACTCTTGAGTCATCTAATTTTCAAGAAGAGTGAGAACTTCACCAACAGGAAGTCTTAGTGTATCTTGTTAGGTAGAAATATAGATTTGTATTGGCTACAAAAGAGTTCAGATGTGTATGTAGGTGTGAATATGGAAGCTGTGTAACCAAGGGGTAGACTATGCCAGTTATCAACATGATTCCCCTCAACTTCAAGTTCACCCTTAAACACATTCTGAGAGACAATGCACAGAATTCCTTTAAGCATTTTTTTCCTTTAAACATGGTTGGTGAGCTTCTCAGTACATGGTATCACTGCAAGTGGAAGGGGCTCTCCTGCTGTTTGCAGTTTGTGATGGGTTAGTGGTATGGGTGCAAAGATCTCTGGTGGTACACTATCCCAGTGACAAACCCAGAATATATAGTACTTGATGTCCTGAAAGCTCCAACCCGGCCTGGCAGTTTTCCTGCTGCTCTCTTGACATGGACACCATGTACTAATGGGCCCTGACTTGAATCAGTAGCCCAGCTTCCCTCTGCTCCCATGCCTTTTCCAGGTTTATATTCATAATGCCCAGCCCTCCTGACAGGAGGACTGCCAAGGCCTTCTGCCACACCAGCACAGTCCTTCTGCATGACCTCATGGCTTGCCATTGGCTGTAGCCTTACATGTGCCCTGGAAGATTTCCACTGGGGACCCCACTCCCTCTACATGCTCATGCATCCATACCCTGGTTGAGGCTTGACTGCACCCCAGTTGTCCCCCAGAGAGCTGCTTCTTGCTTGTCCAGTGACCATAAACCAAGTTGACTCAGGTAAAGTCACAAATTTCTCTGCCTTCAATAGGCTGCAACTATACTTTCATTGAGGACTGATCCATGGCCCTAGGGATTGGGGCCCTTTCCAAATTTATGCTTCCTTGAGTACGCTCCCTTATTCCAAGGATACAATTTGCAGTAGACCCTTGGTGTCCATGGGTATATGGCTCCTAGGAGACTGCTGTTGAGAAAAACTACGCATGCTCAGGATGCACAGAGGTAAGTACTGTGGATGCTTGATTCATATTTCACATAATGCCTATCATCTTCCACTACAACATGCCACCTTTCAACAAATTTAAAATATTTACTTTATCACTTAAATTAAGCACAATAACTTTTACCCTGCTTTTGGAGCATCATTTCCTTTTTGAGAGGAAGATTTTTGCAAAATTATGGGCAGAGAAACACTCAGCATATCACCCATTGATTTAAATACAATTGACGATAACGCGGGACTGCCAGAGATCTTCACATCAACGGAGCTACAGAATACATGTGTGGGAACTTAAAACTTTTGTTTTTGAAGTTTGTTTTGATTTTTATTTTTTGACCACCCTTGGTCAAAACCAAGTATAATAAGTCCATGAATAAGATAGACTTACTGTAGATTTTTCTTCTACAGATACTCTTAGTTTAACTATGTTAAGCTCCTGTTCAAACAATTTAATTTCTGTCTCCTGGTTTAGCCATACTTAGGAAATGGCTAGCATATGAGGTATTCTAGCTATAATATTCCAAATTAGATCCAAAGATTTTAATATAGAATCTTTTGGTTTAATTTAGTGTTCTATTTTGATGTAAACCTTGTAAATGATGCTGGATTCAGAATCCACAATACTCCACTTGCTTGTGTAAGTTTGGGCAAAGGATAGCTGAGATACCAAGCAATCACCTCTTCTGCTGTGTTGGAAACATTAGGGACTACTAAATGGTTTTATGGGGTGATTGCAGTTTAGTCAGGTTCACATGTCAATAACAGGGACTTTGGAGATCACTCTAGTGTCTATATTCATCTCATATTAACCTATTACACGCCTCTCTTCTTGTTTGACCCACTCAGTAA